CCCCAAAACCCCAAAACCCCAAAACCCCTCAATGCAAATGATTACTTAAAATGATTTTGATAATCCTAATGAAAGAATAAAATAAATTCCTAAAAGAGATAGGTTTGGATTTTGTTTTTGCTCAGAAACATTTACTATGAACAATTATTGCTCCATTCTCGTCGTAGTCTTATTTGGTAATCCACATTGAATCGAATGTTGAGAGTGAAGTAAGGAGAGAACCTCCTCTCCATACGGCGAGTCTTCTGTCTGGATCAGCAATAACTTTGACAGTAATTGATTTAGGTGCTCTGTCTTCTATTTCCTTGAGGAGTCTTTCACCAATACCTTCGTACATAGTGGTACCTCCAGATAGGATAATGTTTTGATAGAGATTTCTTCTGATATCAACATCACACAATTAGATTGAATCGGAAGTCAAATCTTGGATTGAAGTAAACTCACTTCCGTTCATTTCAAGTGGCTTGAACAAGTATTCGGGGCATCTGAATCTCTCGTTACCAATATTAATGACTTCGCCATTTGGGAGTTCGTAGATTTTATCGAATTCGGTGCTATCGTGAGATTGCTTAAGAGCAGACTCATAATCCAAAGCGACAAAGCATAACTTTTCTTTGATGTCTCTAACGATTTCCATCTCAGCAGAAGAAGTGAAGACATAACCTCTCTCAGTAAGGAGCTTAGCCATGAACATGGTGAGATCTCTACCGGCAAGTTGAATTCTTTGGACGGCATGGGGAATAGAGAAACCCTCATAGATGGGGACGGTGTGGGTAACACCATCTCCAGCATCGCAAACAATACCGGTGGTTCTACCAGCGGAGTAGAGAGAGAGAACGGCTTGAATGGCAACATAAAGAGCGGGTACATTGAATGTCTCGAACATGATTTGAGTCATCTTCTCTCTGTTAATCTTTGGGTTGAGTGGTGCCTCAGTCAAGAGTACTGGGTGCTCGTCTGGGGAGACTCTAAGCTCAACGTAAAAGGTATGGTTCCAGATCTTTTCCATATCATCCCAATCCTTGACAATACCGTGCTCGATGGGGTAGAAAATCTTTAAGACTCCTCTCTTTTGTTGGGCTTCATCACCAAGGTATTCAGTGGCTGAATCAACTCCGATCAAAGCACTGGAGTTCTTGGGTCTACCAACGATTGATGGGAAGATAGCTCTTGGGGCGTCTTCTCCTGAGAAACCGGCCTTGACGACTCCAGATCCATTATCAATAACACAAGTTTGTTGATCACTCATCTCTTTGCAAAGATATGTTTAATAAAATAATTATACTTTCTTGCTCCTAATCTCTACTTATTAATAAACATATCTTTTTATTAATTCTATAATAAGTACTATCAATGCTTTTTGGGGTTTTGGGGTTTTGGGG